TCGAGGGGACGCCATTCATCCCGGCATTCGCATCCCCCCGGAAAGCGTTATTCGCGACGATCCCCCTTGCGTTCGAGGGAACATCTCAGGAAGCGAATGTAACGTTCCCAAACGGGAGACTTTACTTTATACATATTTTGTAAAACTATATATCTTTCTGATGATTCTCATATATATTTTTGTAATCACTACATTTTTTGTGTTTATAATATATTGGTCTATGTATTCATAAATATACTTGTACATTTTTTTTAAACCTACATAGTATGAGCGAGACAACGCGCAATGGGTGAAAGCGCGTGCGAGCGAGAGCGCGAGGGAGACCGCGTGCGCATGGCGGCGACGGGACAGCGTGCGCGTAAGCGAGCAAGCATGGCAGCGGCACGGTAGCGTGCGTAGGAGCGAGAACACGCTATAGGCGCGCTATGCGTGGAAGGGAGGACGCGCTATGTGTGAGACCGCGAGGGAGACCGCGTGCGCGAAAACGCGACCCACGAACGCGGCCCGCGACGACGCGGGGGCGCGCCGGGGCCCCGCGAAAAATCCTCCCCCCATATTCTCAATGAGTCTGCCGCTATCATTGTTTATGTAAACATACAAAGCCCATGTTTATACTCAATGAGACCGCCGCTATCATTGTTTATGTAAACATACATGGCCCATGTTTATATAAACATCTCGGCGGTTACCCCCTGTGACGTCACCCCCCCCCGTGCAAATTCCCCCCGGCCCCGCTCCCCCCTCGGAGCTCCTGGGTTAGAACCGGCTTATCTCTCCTACTAGCATTAATATATTAAACGTAAACATCCTGCTTTTGATACACGGAATAGCTTGTCGGTACGAAAACTAGTGGCAGGGATCGCAAGCTGATTCAGGAGAGAGAGTAGCGGAGTTAAAGAATCGAACAATAAACGGATAACAAATAATAAATTTAAACGTATAAAATATATTTCGGAAAGCAACATAAAATAAATAAATGTCGTGGTATAAAATAAACACGTTTAGCGAACGAGCTACATTATTTGATAATGTTCGACGATACTTTAAGACAACGCAAAGAAGTCCGCGACTTAACAATAACGCAAAGAAATCCGTAAATGATGCAAAGAAATAATCTTGGCAGTATCCCAACTGCGGTAACGCATATTGGTATCCGGAGATAGTCGGGCGCGTACGGATCGCAGAGCGGTGCGCGGCGCCACCAGCTGGGTCGGCGATATGAGCACGCGTGCGGAGCGTATGCACCGGCCGGGTATGGCGAGCGGACTGCTACGTGCACGTGGGTTTTGAAATGCCCCGGGATGACAGGTGTCGTTAGTACGACCGAACCTGTCTGAATTGGAGCGATATGTGATAGAGGACAGGGGAGATGACGCGCCCGAAGAAACGCTCGGATCGGGGTGAAGGAATGCTTCACCTTGGTGTCGCCTGTTCGGGTATGGATAGCGGAATGGCCCCTGTCGAGAAACATTCGACCAGGAGTAGAGAAGCGCTCTACTCCTAGTCGGTCGGGCGGCATTCAGCGGTTGTTCGGCCGGGAACGATGCACTTTCGGGGGTGCATCGTTACAAACGAAATCAGTTCTAAACCTCTCACACTATCTATTTGTTTATAACGCGATATTTAACAAGTTAACAATGATATCTGAGATCTGTCTATGCAGTAATTCTTAATTAGGACTTAGAAATCTAAACTATTGCAATTTGTTTAAAATCCATTATTTAATAATCAGACAATGATATCGGTAATCCACTTGTTTGGTAATTGTTATTTAACATTAATAAATCGAACGGAACAAGTTATAAGTCTCTCTCGCTATCCAATTGTTTATAATGCAATATCTAATAAATTAACGACAATGTTTGGAATCTGTATATACGGTATTTGTTAGTTAGGACTTAAAAATCGGATTGAATTATTACAATTGTTTAAAATTCATTTATATTTGTTCATATATTTAACACTTTGAGTAAAAATATTGATAATCCACTTGTTTGGTATTTATTATTTGACACTAATTAATAAGGCGGAACAAGTTCCATGCTCTTATGTAATTTTCGGTAAACAACAAAGATATAATAATATATTATGCGTATCATACATTGTGCTTTACGGAACTCAGCCGTTAAGGGCTGGCAGAAGAGAAAGGCAAACTCATTTACACCTCATTTGCACGTCATTAACGATGCAGATACTTACCGTACTTTCCCATATTTTGTTTCTTAGAAGTGTAATATTTTATTGTAAGCCTTCTTTTAGCTTATTTCTTATAAAGATACATATGAAGGTACGTTACATCTTTCCTAAACCAAAAATATTTTCTATAATATTTCATTAGATCGGAAGAGCA